AGGCATTGCACAACACAGGTGCACTTATCTACATGCAGGTAATACACGCATACACATAAAATAATAAAATAATAAAGTAAAAAAAAGAAAATATGAAAATGAAATGCATAATTTTGAGCAACTAATATAGGCTAACAAAAACACTCGGTAGGTAATAACCAAACTAACTGTGTTATCACCAATTATATCTAAGAAAAGAGAAATAATGAAAAAAGATGAAGACTAATTGTTCTTTAAGTTATTTGCATGGTACTGGAGAAATGGCTTAACAGCTAAGAGTATATGGTAGTCTTTCAGTAGACCTGAGTTTAATTCCCAACACCATGTCAGGCAGCTCACAACTTCTTGTAACTCCAGTCCCAGGGGATCCAACTCCCTCTTCTGGTCTCTGCAGACAGAGAAATAATGAAAAAAGATGAAGACTAATTGTTCTTTAAGTTATTTGCATGGTACTGGAGAAATGGCTTAACAGCTAAGAGTATATGGTAGTCTTTCAGTAGACCTGAGTTTAATTCCCAACACCATGTCAGGCAGCTCACAACTTCTTGTAACTCCAGTCCCAGGGGATCCAACTCCCTCTTCTGGTCTCTGCAGACACAAGCACACATGTGCACATGCCCTCCCCCATATGCATAAATAAAAATTTAAAATTATGAAAGAAAATTATTTGCAATCAAGCATTTTTTTAATGTATACATAGTCAATGACAACAATTATTTTCCATTGCACAAATGTGTTGTGTGATATAGTAGTCACACTTATTTTTCTTCCTAAGCATGGTTCTAAACTTTCTAGATTGAATGTTGATGAGTACCCAGAGACTTTCTTATTGAAGGAAAAGTAAAAAAAAAACCAGAATAAGGAGACTAGAGCAAGCAGTGACCATCATAGTGCAGATTGTTTCTTTATTATGGGTACATGATGAACTGAAGCTCTGGCTGAGGCTGAGGCTTCGTTTCAGACCTCTACTATCATGCCTGACTTACATCTCGGTTTTCAGTGCTCCACTGATATCCGATGGATTTCTACATCTGATGGGTGGTGTGTTGCATGAGGGTGGTTTTATTCTTGGTCAACCTCCAGGGGTTTTAGGTCTTAGTGTTAGGAGATTTTATTAGTTACTTTTCTGTTGCTGTGAAAAAAACATGAACCAAAGAAACTTATAGAAGAGTTTATTTAGCTTATGATTCCAGAAGGTGAGAGTCCATCATGCCAGAGAGGCACAGCAGGAGAGGTAGCCAGAACAGAAAGCCAAGTGATCACATCTTCAAGCAGGCACAGGAAGCAGAGACCCACTGGAGATCCAGCAAAGCTTAAGAACCTCTAAGCCAGCCCCCATGACCCGCCTCCTCCAGCATAGCCACACCTTCTAAGACCTTCCAAAACAGCACCACCAACTGGGGACAAATATGTCCAGCTATTTGGAGCCTATGGGGGACATTCTCATTCAAACCACCACCCAGATAGAGTTATATCAGGAATAGGAAAGTTAGATGTGATATACAGAATCATTGAAGAGATCAGAAGCTCTGATTTCTAAGACACCTTCCAGATGATACAAGTATATGTGCCACTGTCTGACAAACGCAAGGCCAAGATTACAAGGGGAAGATCATCAGTGACTCCAGCAGAAGTTTGATTTCTTATACTTGTCCACACTTACACTTCCCTGGATGTGATACTCAGCACCACTGTGTTGGCTCTTGGCCAGTTCAAGAGAAATGTTGCAACCACAGGACAGTGCTGCCATTCCTTTCACTATCTTAAATAATTAATCCATGCTTGCAGAACTTTACAGACTTGTGCAGAGCAGCAAAACATCTAAGTTACCTCACACATCCATCCACTCCAGAAGTAGCAAAAGACATGGTACTCTGCCATCTTGACTCAACTCTCACCGCAGATGACTGTCCTTTCGTCCCTTTCTATACTCTGCATAGTGCAATATTTTCCACATGATGAAAGTTTGAAGAGACATGCAAAAGTCAGCATCAGGGAGTGAGAGAATTCAAGTCATGGTCACTTGGGTGGTGGTATGGCCCACTTCAGTGGGTGCCCAGTGACTTCAGATACTTCAGATAGAAAGTGAAAGCCAGGATCAGCTGAGGGAGGCTGACCACCTCTGAGGTTCACCAAACGGGAGGAATGAAATGGTGGAAAAGCTGGGGTGGCACATACAGGGTAGAGGATGAAGACAGCTCAGTGCTCCATGTACAAGATCTTCAGCTAGTGTCTGCAGAACACACTGGTGGGAGATTGGATAGTGTTACTTGGTCTCCAAAGCTTGTGGATTTACTTTTGCAACTTACTAAAGAACATTCCTCCTTCTCTTTGGTGTTAAAAGTGAAAGGATATTCACTTCTGAAAATCTTCTTGCTGTTGCCAAAGTCATCAAGTGGAGTTTTTTTAATATTGGAAAATAAACAAATAGACAAACAAATAAAAAATGAATGAATGAATGAATGAATGAATAAATAAATAAATAAATAAATAAGTCTGTGTGCATGTATTTGTGCTGGTGTGTGTTTTCGTATACCTGTATGGGTACATATACACATGTGTGCACATGAAAGTGAAGGGTTGTGACTAACCTCAGGTTTCATTCCTCCAGGCGTCTCTTAAGGACCTAGGGCTCCCTGATTTGGCTAGGCAGGCTAACCAGTTGGCCTCAGGGATCCACCTGTGTCCATCTCCCCAGTGCTGACTTAACAAGTGCCTATCACTTTTTATATTGACGCTGGGGGATTGAACTCAGGGCCTCATGCTTGAATGGCATTTTACCAACTGAGCTTTCTCTCCAGCCCTTTGTAGAAAAATAATTTTAATGAAGACCTAGTATTCATTGTCAACTACTTGGAAATCTATTTATTGGAAAAAGAATAAGCTTCTTTGTGTAGTAGTGTCACTGAAACTGTTGGTTGATGGTCTTATGGATGCAAGTTTCAACTCTGGATAAGTACATCATGAACACTGCACTCAAACACTAAAGAATGCACTTTTTCTCAGTATCCCATGGAACTTTCTCCAAAATCAACCACGTATTAGAACCCAAAGAAGTCTCAACAAAGGAAGATTGAAATAACATTCTATAGTCTATCTGACTACAAAGGAATAAAACTGGATATCAACAGCAAAAACTACGGAAAAAAATACAAACTCATGGACACTAAATGCCACAGTACTGGGTCAAGAAGAGAAAAAAAATCATAGAATTGAATGAAATTGAAAACACATTTCAAAATCTTTGAGACACAAGGAAGGCTGTCCTAAGATGAAAGTTTATAGCACCAAGTACCTACATTAAAAAATTTGAGCAATCTCATATTAACTTAATGATGCACATGAAGGACTTGGAAAGATAAAAATTAATAGCACCCAAAATAGTAGATTGGAAGAGACAATCAAAATCATGGCTGAAATTAAAGAAATAGAAACAACAACAACAACAAAAATAAAAAGAATCAATGAAGTAAAAAGTTGGTTCTTCAAAAGATTAGCAAGATTGATAAAACCTTTAGCAAAATTAACCAAAAGAAAGACAGTACTCAAAATAATAAAATCATAGATGAAAAGGGAAGCAGTACAAAAGAATCTGAGGAAAGTCAGAGAATCATAAGGACATACTTTTAAAATCTATACTCCACTAAACTGGAAAAGCTCAAACACACACACACACACACACACACACACACACGACACCAGTCTATGATAAATCAAGATGAAGTCAAGAATTGCATGGACAGTGATTAAACACCTTCAAACCTAAAAAAGCCCAGGATCAGATGAATTCAGTTCAGAAATCTACTAGACTGTCAAAGAACTAACACTAGCACTCATCAAATTATTCCATAAAATAGAAAACAAAGAAACACTTCAAAATTCTTTTTATGAAGCCAATATTACCCTGATATTAAAACCAGATCAAGAACCAACAAAAAAAGAAAATTATAGGTTAATCTCGCTAATGAAGATGGATATAAGAATTTTCAATAAAAGGGACTAGAGAGATGGTTCAATGGATAAGAGCACTGGCTATCCTTGCAGAGGACCTAGGTTCAGTTCCCAGCACCTACATGGCAGCTAACAACCACTAGGAACTCCAGTTCCAGAGAATATGATGCCATTTTCTGGCCTCTGTAGACATTGTATGCACACGGTGTACTTATGTACATGCAGACAAAACACTCATATACATAAAATAAAAATAAATAAAAATTTCTCAAAATACTTGCATACCAAATTCAATAGGATATCAAAGACATTATCCACCATGATTATGTTGGCTTCATCCAAGAGATTCAGGGGTGGCTCAACATAAGTAAATTAATAAATGTACTCCTGCACATAAATAGATTCAAGGACAGAAATAGCATCACAATAACCAGACCTTTACAGTAAATTTACATTTCCTCAGGGGCTGGTAACGTTTCCATCTACATTACAGTGGAGACTGACCCAGAGAAAATATGGTTTTCTTCTAGAAAGAAATGGGGACAACCTTTCTTCTGGGAATGACTTCTTAGAATGAAAGAGTTTTGATTTATGGAACTTTGAAAACGAGATGAAAATAAAGAACGAATGTGGTCCACGGACTAGTTCTCAGTAGTTACAGACTTTAATTCAGAGGCAGGAGTTCATCGGCATTTGTGTTTCTGTGTGGATATGTCTCATGTGGTAGGCGAATCTTTTGTTTTTCGACAGCACTCAGTGTTTTTTGTTCAAAAGTTTTTCCTGAGCAGCAGGAATTGTGTGTTTTTCAATTTTTCTTTATAATTGAGATACCACACCTCATCTAAGAAACACAAACACAAGGAAAGGTAAAATTTCTGGAGACAATCTTTTATTTATATGCCAAAAGCAGCCAATCTTTCAGGAAACATGAATTTGTAGGGATGAGCACAAAGACTTTGTATGATCAGTGAAGGTAACTGAGTCTGACTTTGACTGCCAGAACATCAGCAAAGAAGGGAAGTCCGTCAAAGCCAGGCCATGCTGCATGTGATGAGGGCAACATTGCTCTTCTTTGTTTATAGAAAAGTTAGCAGTGTCCTTCATGAAGAAATTGAATTTTCCCATTACTTCTCCTAAAGGAAGACATGGTTAACAAGGCTTAACATAAGCAGAAATAAAAGCTGAAAGGAACAGCAAAGACTATGAAGTAGAACGACTTTCCACAGATGAGAAAATCTGAGTTCCAGAAAAGTCATGCCTTTCTCTGCCACAGGCAGTTTCTGTTGTTTCTTGCAACAGTCTTGTCAAGAGTGGAAGTTCCAAGACTCAACGATAATTTACCTCTTCCACTGATCCCAGAGTCTGGAGGCTCGCCCAAGGTCTTGAAGCAGCAAAGAAGAGGAGTCTTACGGAAGGAATTAGGTGGCCTGTCTCAGTTTCCCCTGATGCAAAGTAATGGTGTGGACACTACATTACCATGTCACCTCTCATGGGCCCTTGACCTTGAACACTAGTTTCAAGGTCAAGCCTCTACATGTGTCTGTGTTAGAGAATCTTTCCTTCTGTGAAGTGAAACTTCCAAAATAGAAATGAGTATGTAGACATGTTCTTCTGTGTTCAGTCCCAATTTGGTATTCTAACTTGCTAAATTAACCACAAAGATCAGAACAGGGGATATAAGATAAGTATCCCAAATCTGGTGGCTTAAAAGAGTGTTAACAATGATATAAAGTTGACTTGGTATAAGATAAAACTTCCTTTCTTCAAACAAGAAGTTGTGTGGAACTCCACTTCTTAAAACAGTAAAAACTGAATTTGGATTTGGGGGGTTCACTCCAAATGGTCTTTTAACCCATTTGGGGACTCCTGACTTGCCTTTCTAGAATCTCTGGGCAACAGAGACAGAAGTTTGAAAACTCATGGACTTGTTAGATTTTCACAACTAACTGACAGAAGTTGGAGAATCTGATGGGATAGGAGCAGTCCAAGTTGGCACAACAGCTGCTTCAACCCTGGTCTGTCTATACTACTGTTGGGTCTCTGTCCCAGAAGCTGTTCTACATAGGAAGAAGTAGATGATATAGGTTTAAGCAGGAGCTTGGAAAGGGGAGGAATTTGAGTGGAGAACTCTTTTTCTTAATATGAGATACTCACAAGCTCTCTGTACACAACTTGCATTTATTCCCATAGGTGATATAGTCAGAACCACAAACTGGCAGATTTTCGATGGGGCAAGGGATGGCCACCACAGGGTACTTCTTGTATATGCTGCAGTCTACCTGGTTAGACACAAGAGAATGTCCTGCTTTTCTCAAATACCTCAAGTGAGACTATTTCAGTTCAACTGGACAGGTGACAGGAGTCAAAGGCTCATCCCTAGTGTTCTGATGTTGTTGGGGCTGCTTTTATAAGGAGCAACATTACTACTAGCACTACTGCTACTTTTTTACTACTACACTTGGTGAACACTGCAACACATCCTGTGCCAGACAGCTAAGTTTTACAGGAATTCCCATTGTTTGATGTTCAGAACAACTGAATAAGGGAAGTTCTACTATACCTGCTCTTTATAAATGGGGAAATGATTGCTTAGCAGGTTTTTTTCACTTTCATTCATATGCCACATGAATTTATTTAAATTTCAAATTTTGTTCATTTTAAGAAAATTTAAAAAATATTGAACTGGTTATGTAGATCAGTGGTAGAGCACTTGTCCTAAGAATGTTCAGCAAGCTGAATCCAAGCACCAGAAAGACAAAAACAAAAATATAAATAAACAAATCCATAATAATTTATAATATTAGGTTTATGAAAAGTATTTATCTTAATGTTTTCAAAGAAGTGGTAAAAGGTAATCTATTGGCTTTGCTCCTCATATGTATTTTACAGCAATTCACGGTTGCAGCAGAATTTTCTTTTTATTTCATATCATTTAAAGAGAAAAAAATCCTAATGAATTATTATAACCCCTTTGCCTTAAATTAAGAAAAGCAGTTTAAGCCAGGCGTGGTGGCGCATGCCTGTAGTCCCAGCACTTGGGAGGCAGAGGAAGGCAGATCTCTATGAGTTCAAGGCCAGCCTGGTCTACATAGTGAGTTCCAGGACAGCTGGGGCTACAGGGAGACCCTGTCTCAAAAAAACAAAACAAAACAAAAAACAAAAAAAGAAAAGCAGTTTATCAGGTGTAAGTTTATAAAGTTGTGACCAAGATCTCATCTGGAAGCTATCTTTTCTTTAACTCTGGGTTAAAAAATAACGGTGATGCATATGATTGCTCACATTTCATCTCATATTCTTTTCACTGCCTTTCAGACAGAAGAAGCATTTTTTAAATCTATGCTTGTCCCTCCCCCCCGTTGCTTTCCCTACACATGCTGAATTAACCATGTATCTATGTTTTATAAGCATTTGTTGACTAAAGGTTGGCCAGTAGAAACTGAAATTAAAACGATGCTCATCATACTCACCGTTGTTAAAGGGTGACTGGTATCTTCTGAAAGACAAATACAATGGAACTATTAGAAATAAAGCAAAATCTGGAATCTCATCAATCAATGTAAGACTTCTTCAGTCAAAGACTTTTTATTTCTTCTGACAACTAATTTAAACATAAATCCCATCCTCATACAAAATCCCAGCTAAGGAATTTGAATGGCCAATGAGTGAGGTAAGTTCTTGGATCAGGCAAGCAAATCTAACTTCCTTCTTTCAGTAGCTTATAGTATCTCTGATAAGATTTAAAGTCAGTTAGCATTCATGAGAACCTGAATCCCCATCACTGATATACTTCCTTTTCTAATCAATATAAAGACATGTAAATGACCATTGGTGACATATGGGCTTTAATCCCAGCACTCAGAAGGCAGAGTAGGTAAATCTCTGTGATGTAGACGTGGCTACCCTGGTCTACATAGCCAGTTCCAGGCTGACCTGGTCTACATAGCAAGTTTTAGGCCGGTCAGAATTACCTAATGAGACCATGTCTTTTAAAAAAGTGAATGAGTGTCTTTAAAGCATTAGAAATTTATTTTCATTAAGCATCTTTTCACCATTTAAAAGATGAACTGTTGCCTTAAGGCTTTTGGGGAACTGTGGTTTATTTTGATCCTCTGTATTGAGTTATGAAGACATATAAGTATTTCTGCGTCTTTGCAACAAGGAAGAGTATCTAATAACACAGTTTCCAGTATTATGAAATTGAAGACGCATGGAGAAATGAAAACTTTTTTCGCTCCATGAGTGCCAAGTAGGTATCCTTGCAGGGAAAGATACGGCCCAAATCCCTCAAACTATAGCTGGAACTAAGATCCTTCAGCCAGCCCCAGGCCAGAGCTGATATTCCACTTTAAATACACATGATCAGACATTTATCACAGCTGCTTAGATCTTAGGAGGAACTCTTTGGGAAACAAATAAACAAACAAATGATAAAACAAAAGAAAATGCCCAGTGGGAGGGAAATCATGCCTGGTAAGGTAAACCTGGCCAAATGGCCATAGCTGGAGAGCCATAGACCCTAGAGAAAAAAATAATAAATGAATGAATGAATGAATGAATAAGTAAATAAATAAATAAATAAATAGTAACAATAAAAGTAAAAACTTCCATGACTGTATGCTGCATGGTATAACTCAAACTCACCTGAGCTGCTGCAGTAGGTCATGGTGCAGAGCAGGAGACCTGCAATGATCTTCATGGTGGAGATGGCTGGGCTCCAGAGGCTGCTGCTCTGAGATTGTCTTCTGTGGGGCTGTGTTTATATGCACCAGCCTTGGTTTCTCCACCTTTCCTGTGAGTTCATCCAAAGTCAGTATTGGCCCTGAGAGAATCCCAAAGCATGTCACACCCTGAGGGTGTCACAGTCTTTGTCACTTAATTGCTGTTTCCCATCTCACCCATAAGTAGATTATTTGAGGTGAGAAGTATTTTTCTGCCTGTTGCATAGATGAGGACTGTTACTTACGGTTCTAAATTTCACACAGAAGAGAGGAAGTATTTGCTTCATGTCTCAATAGTGAAATAAAAGAACATAATAAGCTTTGTTTTACTCAAATGGGAAATATTATGCTCAGAGAAGTGAGGGGGCTCCTTAGTTTATTTGAGTCTCCTGAGAAAATAGTTTTATTTTCAAAGCAATGAACCTAACAAGCAATCTGGGATCTGGTGAAAGGAACAGTAATGCTAGGGTTTAAGAGGCTTGGAGAAAGATGTTGACATTTTTCTAGCTGTCTAATCTTGAATAAGTCATGGACAAGGCTGTGAACCTGTATCAGTCAGGAAAGTGTAGTACTAGTTGCTTGTAATTTTGAGATTTCTGTACAAATTTGTTTTTGTATGTCTATAAGTATATAGTGATCACCTGATGGTTCTGCATGGATTTTACTGTTCACCAATTGTTTAGAGCATTATTGTCTGGTGATGTGAAGTTATATTCCTCTTTCCAGAAATAAAATAAGCATTCCATCCCAAAGAGATGTCACTGTCATTTCCCTTAGCCGTCACAGGGATATCCAATGGTCTTTTCTAACTGTAGAGGCTGGGGAATAAATGTGATCAATCTTACCTTGTCCATTGAAGGTCAAAAGGGTCAAAAGAGTAGCAGTAGTTGACAAACAGCAAAGAGACCATGCCAGAACTTGAGCTCCATCCTCTGTCCAGTGGGGTCCATCATCAGTCACGATAAAGTTATACATCATTTACATGAAAGTCTATTCTAAAGCAGAATGCATTTCATTGTTATTCTAGTTATTAGTGTTATCAACAAGGAGACAAGACTCAATGCTTAGATTCTGATATTGTAAACTACATTGTTCATGTACAGCTGTCCAAGTGGCTGCTGTTTGTCTACAGAGTTCAAAGACATATTCCATGAAGATCTGAGGCAAGGTAGTAGGTGCTGTTCTGTTAGTTCGTTGTTTAATAAGAATATTTGGAAACACAGCATCGACAAACGATATTAAATAAACTATAATGTACCACCCTCTAAAATTTTAGCTTTTGCATCTTTGGGGAGGCAATATAATCTTGTGGTCTAAAACATGAACACGGAGTCCAATGAGTCTCATTTGAAATATCCTTTAGAAATTTGACTCTGTACCCTTGAATACACATTTGCTAACCTCTATAGGCTTTAGTTTCCTCATCTCTGAAATGACTAATGTTTACCTCATGGGATGTTTTAGATTATTAAGTGAAATTTTACTTAATAAAATTAAGGTGGAGAGGGCACTTAATTTGGGGAATTTGATCTGAAAAATGTGTCACGACAATTTTGTTGTTATATAAAAATCACAGAGTGTAATTATACAAACCTTGATGATATAGTCTACTACACAGTTAACTGATTGTAAATATCTGTATATAAAATCTGTATGCATATAGCTGTACACATACACACATATAGGTATATTGCTAAGTATACAAGTACATATATTGTAGTCTGTTTCTTCTTGGCCACCTGAATAAAACACCATGAAATTAAAGCACAAGGGTATATACTACAATTAAGAGCCACAGTAGATGTAAAGTAATTGAGGCTGTACCTGAAAAAACACAGCAACATACCATTTTATAGTAAAACTTCTTTTCATATGAAATACTAAAATAACAAAAGTGATATATATATATATAAATTAGTCATGTATTAACATTATCACACACTGTGTACTTGTATAATTTCAGGTAATGTACTTTTAAATGAAGGGCAATGTGGTAGAGCTGTTTACATCTCATCATCGCAAATAGTAACGTGACCACTGCGAAGCACAACAATGTTTACTCATTATTGTAATTACCCTCATGGGGTAATACAGTGCTATATTAGAGATGCTACAACATGACGAGGTGACCAGGATTGTTTTCAACTTCACTGTAATCTTATGGAACTACCAATGTTCATGCAATGTGCTGCTGACTGAAACGTCATTATACATTATGTGACTATATATATATGTACATATATATAATCCCTTTTATGAATGTGCGTTTAATGTGTATGTGTACATGTACATGTGCAGCATATCAGAGTGCTAGACTCATAATCAGTTATTGATACAGTAGTTAATATTATATGATGTAATTTTCATGTAAACACATTAAGTGAAGAAATTTTATTGCCCTAATTTTACCAGTGAGTAAGTTGAGGCTCAGAAGACTTGAATAATTTTCCTAAGATCATGATACCAATTACTGGCGGAGACTCTGCATAGAGTCACAGAAAAGAAGTAATGGTTCTAATAAGGACAGTCAGTTATAAGTTCTATTTTTTGCTGTGAAAGTTTGTAGATAATGAATACCAAGCAAAATCCATCATATTTCAAGATGGGGTATATATTTTTGTATTTAGAAAGCACATATAAAAATATTTTATTTTATGTGTACAACTGTATTGCCTGCATATAAGTGCACCTCTGTCAAGCAGTGTTCACAGAGGTCAGAAGAGGGTGTCGGATACCCTGGAACTGGAGTTTCAGACAGTTTTTAACTGCCATGTGCATGGTGGGAATCAAACCCAGGTCCTCTGTAAGAGCAGTCAGTGCTCTTAGCTACTGAGTGATCTCTTCAGCCCCAGAAAGCACATTTTTTTAAATTTTGGTCTTTTTGAGACAGGGTCTCTCTGTAGCCCCAGCTGTCCTGGAAGTCACTATGTAGACCAGGCTGGCCTTGAACTCACAGAGATCTGCCTGCCTCTGCCTCCTGAGTGCTGGGATTAAAGGCGTGTGCCACCACTCCCAGTCCAGAAAGCACACTTTTAACAAAGAGGAGTAGGTATGAGATCAGGGTTTGAGTGTCAGGGAAAGAGAAAAGAGAAATGACAGAAGCTTGGCTTCATTCAGCAAGTCTGGATAGGCTGAGCATCTTTAAACCAAAGTAAAGAAGAAGAAATATTTTTAAAAAGAAAAAGAAAAAAGAACCCCGAACAACAAAATAAAATAAAAAAGAACTATAAGATACATTGTAATTCAGGCTAGAGAGGTGGCTCAGTGGTTAAGAGCAATAGCTGCTCTTGCAGAGGACACAGGTTTGGTTCCCAGCACCCACATGACAGCTCATAATCATTTGTAACTCCAATCCCAGGGGATTCAATACCCTCTTCTGGCCTCTGAAGGCATTAGGCATGCAATTTGAGGACTTACATACATGCAGGGAAATACTCATATACATAAGATAAAAACAAATATTTTTTTAAGAGATCCATGATAGAGGTTGGCTAGCTAGAGGCCTTTACAAAGGGAGGACATAAGATTAAGGAACAGATGAAGCACCATCCCCTCTGACACAGGAGACAGGTGATTAGGTAAGAGGGTGAATATGGAGACTGCTATTTAGAAAGATAGGGGTAAAGGCATGAATGGAGCTCATCACAAACTGATTTTGGCAGCAGAAGAACTGAGTTCTTCTGCGGCTTGAGGAAGTTTGATACTGACATTTATGGGGATATATCAGATCATCCACAGTGGCTAGAAAGATGGATGACCACTAGACAAAATTAGCATCCGATTGGTACTGTTAGTATTTTACTGTATCTCTCTCAAAGTTCACATGATTCTGAGTGAAAACTGACAGTGAGCTTTGGATGTTGAATGATTTTTGCCTGTGACTTCAGAGGGCCGTGTCTTTATGTGTTAGGGGTGCCGAGGTTTGGAAGAGTGTCAAGTATTCCAGATTTCTGATGGACTACAAAAGGTCAAGGTTTAAACAAGGTTTGAATGTTGATTCATTAGGTGTGGAGAAAATGAACAATTGTTTATCGAGGCTATTGCCAAGAGGCAAATGCCAGGTTTAATTTCTCAGGGGTGGGTCTGAGTGTACATCCTCTGGGTGTATCCAAAAATACAGCAGAGGAGGATGGGTAGGGATTAAGTTCTATGGTTTTAAAAAGTATGAGAAGCAGTGAGGTCAAGGGATCAGGTGTGGGCTTGCTTTAGGTTTTGGTAACTAATTACAGGGAGAAGAAGTTTTTATGCTTGGATACTAAGCTACACATTTTGTGGGATAGGAAATCAGGGCTGTGGAGGTAAAAAGCAATCCAAACAAAAGGGCAGCCTGTTCATTCTTCTTTCTGTTCCTTCAAAACAGGAGAGTTCAGTCTTTAAGAGGATCACTCTTGTCATGAGTTCACACAGTGGGAGGCACTGTGAAAATAATGCAGAAAACATAAAACAAACACAAAAAAGTTAATCTTGTGTATTTTTCCCAAGTAGATTTGTAATGTCCAAGAACGGTCAGGATAGCTCCTTAGTGGTTCACTGGAGTAGGAGCTGAGTGAGGAGTTCCTGATCAGTTACCTGGAAGGACTTGGGAAGTTCCACCACAGCTGGTGTCCCTAGTTCTCTTAGGGTCCCTTGCTCCTGGCGCTATTAGACAAACCATATAACACACCTGTATCTGAATTCTTCACAGTTTATATCCTGGGTAGGGGAAATAGAGTAACTTACAAAGGCTAAGACCTAGCACACCACTCACAGCGCCCAGCTCTGATCTGTGGCTCAGGGGCCCACTGTTTCAGAAGGCTTCCATGCCCCCCACACAGCCTCTGTTAGCTTTCACTCACCCCTCATGGGCCCACAGTCTTGTCCCAGGTCGGTAAATGCCCCTCTCGCATCCATGCTAGCGAGACACCAGCCCCTGCACCCCACTTCTGTCTAAGATGACCCCAATGCGCCCTCCCTGGCTAACTCTCTGCAGTGCCCTCTC